TCGCTCTGCATCCTGCTAAGGTCCACCCGCTTTGGCCGGCGACGCCTACCGCCCGCCTGGCGAGGCATATCGACCGGGCGGCGCAGGCGCCCCCGGCGGGTTGCTGCTGTCCGTGCCGCCGCCGGGCCAAGCCAATCAGGTGCGAACCGGGCCAAGGGTGCAACGAGGGGGTGGGAGGAGAAAAAGACTCCGGATGTGTGTGTGTGTGTGTGTGTAAGTCCGCCCGTGTTGTGTGTGTGTGTGTGTGTGCGCGTTTGTGTCTCAGTCTCTGTCTCTGCGTCTCAGTCTCTTTGTCTCTATCTGCCTGTCTCTCTGTCTCTCTGTGTCTCTGTATCTTCGTCTCTGTCCCTGCCTTTGTCTCTGTTTCTGTCTATGTGTCTCTGCCAGTGTCTCTGTCTATGTCTGTGTCCGTGTCTGTGTCTGTGTCCGTGTCCGTGCCTGTGTGTGCGTCAGTGTCTCTGTGTGGGTGTGGGTGTGTGTTGGCCCCTTCAAAATGGCAATTTGAGGATCAAGACATGTTGTGTGGTTGGAGAAGATGAAGCTAGAATTGGGATGGACATGTCTCTGCTCATGCAAAGTTGGCTGACGTCATGGGCGAGACGGCAAGCTGGGCCTCTCAGACGGAACGTTCTAATTGGGCTGAAAGCCTTTAATGCCAAACGGGTTTGGTGCATGCCCACATTGAGCCGTGAGCTTGCGTTTGAAAGATCCTGGCCATGCTGTTGCCCCGTGCACCTGGCAGCATGAAACTCGCGCTGCTCAAAGCAAGGCCGATCCGCCAGGCGTTCCATTTGCGCCATGTCAGACCCTGCGCAGGAAGCCAGCAATCCAAACCAGGGGTAAGGGGAGCACGTGGTGTGAAACTTGGAGGGGCCAAGGTGCCTGTAGTCGTGGAAACGGGACCAGGGGATCCATTGGACTGCACGAAAACCGCCTTGTGCTGTGGCCCAGCCCGCATTCCAAGCGCATCAGACATGGTTTGTTTCGACTCACTCCACTGCCCGCAGAGGAAACTGGATCTATACTCCTTAAATAAGTAGTGCTCGTTTTCCCATTCTTCGGAGGCAGTGGAAGCGCTCTTGCAACCTCAAACGCCACCACCACATGTTGCCATTCCCCTTTTTAAGATTCCAAAAGTGGATCGTTTTCAAGGGACACCACCTGCAACATGATCAACTTTTGATGTGGGGACCCCTCCCTTGTTTGATCCACCCCCCCAACCCACCCCACCCTACCCCCGAACCCACCCCAACCCACCCCCGAACCCAACCCACCCCACCCCACCCACGACTGTTTCAGGGGGCCTACGGCTTCGTGCGGGAGCCCATCTCTGGCGCTTTGGGCTCGGAGGTGGCGCGCCTGGCGCTGGGCAAGGCGGACAGCGACGAGGATCCGTTTCGCGGGGGCGCGGGGCTGGGCGGGGGCGGGGTGTCGATGCTTTGGTCGCTCTCAAAACGGCGCCAGTTTCGAGGCCCCCAAAGCGACCTACAATCCTCAGGATCCCTCTAGCGACAAAGAGACCCCTTTTCTGGGTACCCGTTTTTTTTGGCTGCAACCATCAGCCTGACTTTGTGAGCGGCCAAATGGTCAATCCTCTGTGAACCTGGGAGCAACCCGCTTCAGACCCACGAATGTGCCATTAGGAAAGCTGATTCCTAGTTGTATCATGTTGCATCACGGGAATCATTGTTCGCATCCCCCTTTCCCAACCCTTGCTAAAACAATAGGGAAGCGGGCCCAAATCCATTACATAGCCCGTGCTTCTGTATTTCCATTAGCGAGCCAGGCTTGGCAATCAACAAGATGTGAACCCCTTGGAGCCTGTAGCGCCACCTTACAACAAGGGATGCTCCCAGGCAGGCTGGTGTTGAGCATTCAACATCAAATCCTTCATCCGAGGGCAGCTGGCACCAACAACCAGGATGCACGGCTTGCGCGAGTAGTACGCACGGCAAAGACCTACGTAAGTCGCCGTGCTTAGAAACCATACTTCGCCAGCAAAGCCCAAAAGCAGAGATCTTGTCACATGTCAATGGAATCAGCACCCTTTCCCAAAATCTGTAGCAAGCAGCGACAACAGCAACCTGTTACTTCTGGAAACCAAACAAAGCTGCACAAGCTGAACGACGCCAATGAAGCAAACAAACGAGCGAACGGACCAACAAACGAACATACCTGCCTGCCTACCCACACCTACATACCTACCTACATACAAACTCTATCATGCAGCCAGCCAATCACGCAACAAGCACACAAGCACACGAAAACACCAGCACACAAGCACACAAACACACAAGCCCACAAGCCCACAAACACAAACGCAAGCACAGACACCCAAACGCCCAGACACACAGAAGCGCACACACGCAAGCACACAAAAGCCATAAAACACGCACAACCACGCACAACCACAACCACAAAAACAATCGCACAGATGCGCGAGCACGTGTTGCCTTGCAATAATGCATGCTGGCTGTGCAGAAGTTTCCCTGTCGAGCAGCGCAGGAGGACGCTGACTCCGAGGCAGAGCGACAGCAGGCCAGAAACCAAGAGCGGAGGTCGTGACCTGCGGGAGGCGTCAAAAACGAGTCTCACGAGTAGTGGTAAAATTTGGCTACCCAATGCAACCGGGATCATAGTACGGCCCATACATACCTTCTATAAGCGTCAAGCCCAAAGCAAGGACAGCAGGTCTTGGGCACTGCATGCTGAACTTGAAGGGTGGGGGTCTGACTTGACAAATGGATTCTGCTATGCTCAGATTGGTCCTGAACGGCCAATGAGTTTCGATGTTTCGAAATCATGATGTTGAACGAATGCTACCAGCTTGCCTCTCGTTGGTTTGGACTTGCACAAAGGGTTCAACATGGTTCAGCCCCGCCTGCTCTCGGAACAATCGAAGCCTGCAGGTAGGGGAAGCGACGTTTTAACCCTAAGGCATCCCCACCCCCTTTTGCCTGGAGTCTTTTTTGGCGTTACTTATTTGCAAAGGAAGCTTTGACCAAAGTGACCTAGGCTAGCTAACCCTTCTTACCACAGCAAGAACCTGGGCAATAGCTCACTATCCCTGCTACAGTGGTATCAACCTCCAAGCATCTTCAGAGTTTCCAAGAAAACAAAACCTTCTGGCGGTTTTTTTGGGCCATCCCCTTAGCCCATAGGTCGGTGTTTGTTGGTGGTGATGTTTTAAGGTATCCTTTTTTTCAATACTCACCTGCATGTTTTGGCCCAAAGGTGAGTGTCCCTTGGTGATGTTTTAGGGTTGGAAGAAACTTGGGAGGCAGTGGCTTTCCTGTAGGCGCAGATGGCAGCAGCTGGCCGGACGGTGGAAACTGCACCGAAGCCCCCGCCTGGTGCCGTGCACCCGCCCGGCGGCCTCGGAAAGGAATTCTTTTCGCCGGTTGGGGGCCGGATGCTGTTGAAATCTTGGGACTTTGTTGTTCGGGGGTTATTATTTTGACCGTTCCTAGGGGTTATCAAAGTCAGAAAATGGGATTGTTTCCCTTTAACCCATCACTTAGGTGGTGACTTTGATCATAGTAAAATAATGAGGCCAGTTGTTGACATTCTTCCGAGATCTTCCCAAAACTTTTTCAGACTTTGGTTTTCCAATGTGGGTGAAAGCCGGCTGTTTCCGGGGTTCGGGATTCTCGAGTTTGCAACAGACCTGAAGCTTGTTTCGCTCACGGACCCGCCTACCGCTAACACAAAAGCTGACCCAGAAGAATATCTTCCTCTTACAAGGGCCTTGTGATATTTCCATGGCGGTGTGGCGGGTTTATGTCGGCATTTAGTTTTACGGGGCTGGCTCATGAAAAGCCATGTTCCACCTAGCCATGTGGGCCCTGTCATGGAAAGTGACCGAAGCTAACACAATTGAAGTATTGGACAATGGTGCTGTGCCAAGTGCCCAGGTCATTGGGCTCAGCATTCCATGAGAGTGGCAACTGCAAGAGATGCTGCTTCTTCCCCCGCAACAGGCCCGACCGTCAGCTGGTCAGATGGCCTCACATGCTGGTTATGCATGTGCCTGACATGCTGCTCGAGAAGTTCCCGTGCAGGTGTTTGAATGGCTACGAGTGCGAGTTTTGCCACTACGAGCACGAGAAGCGCAAAAGAAAGAACAAGAAGAACAAGAAGAAGAAGGCCAATTCGAACTCGGATTTTTTTGTTAATGGTCATTTCTTGGACATCTTTTATAAATAACAAAAACATGTTGCGACCGTCGGGCAGTCGCCAGGCCGGTGAGCACATGGATGACTACTTCGCTGATGGCGGAAACATGCTGAGGCACGCGGGCCTTCGGACGGATTAAGCCGGAGCTGGTCTTTTTGGCCGGCTCAGGTCAGAGCTTGGCAAATTGAGGTTCTGGAACAGTGAGCAGTGTTCCAACTTTGCCAGCCAACGAAGACATTGAACTATGCATGAACCGCTGGCGACAGCTCCCTTAATTGACTGTTTGGCTTAGGGGACACCAGCTCCCACCAGCCTTGTCCAGGTCATGGGGTCAGATATGAGCAACAGATCATATTATCAGTGTATCGATCGGTTTTGCAGGTTGGTATCGATTTGGGTTGGTCCCCTGGTTTCTGCTGGTATTGTCAGGAGTTGATGTAGGTGTGTTAAAAACAGACCCCCACAATGGCGTTCCTTTTGGATTCCCATTGAACCAACCTAAGAAGGGGCACGGTCAAACTTGAAAAGTAGTGGGGAGAGGGACGGTGTGCTTCGAGGTTTGTTTCTCGCTTCTAGACTTGCATTCCTTTCTGCGCAGCACCAATCGCTGCGGAAGCAGACTATGAACAACATGTACCGACCTGGCCCGCGGTCGATATGCGGAAGGATCCGCGGCAGCTTTAATGTCCAATCAAGTTCAAGAGGACTAACCACCACCGCTCTGAAAGAAAGCAGTGCCGCCCTTGTCGATTTTTGTTTGGTTCCTGGATTGCTATTGGGTTGGATCTTTAGACTTGAACTGTTGCGAAATCAAGGAGTTTCCCATTCCACCCACATCAACCCACAAAAAGTTAAGCTTTTTGCAAAGGGGTTAACAGCATCCAAGGTTCGTTCCCCACGAGCAGAAGCGAAAAGCAGGGTCCGTTCCCTTTCCGCCGCTCACTGGTTGGATGCCAGGCCCGATCTGGGTTGGCCCCCCGCAGCGCCTGCGCTCCATCCCGGCCCGCACCCCGCGCCCTTTGTGGAGGGGCCTCTCACCTACCAGCGGCTGGCTGGAAATTCGGCTTGCTGAGCGGATCAGGAATCGGGTTCCCGCGTGTTCCCCAATCTTTTTCAAGGCCCCGCTGCGTACAAGCTTTGCTTTAGAAAGCGGCTTTGGCACCTCAAGGGAATGCGCCAGCCTGTTTGATTTAGCCTGGTACCGCCCAGCAATGCATGCAAGTGGGCAGGGGTTCAATGTCCCCTTCATGATTTCACTTCAGAAAGCCGGGAAGAATGAATTCAGCTATCCAATGTGCGGTGACGTTTAGACCTGGACCAAAGGTTCTTGTCTCAAATTTCGTTCAGATGCTTTTCAAGGTGCTTTGGTGCAGATCTTCTGTCAGCTTCCATGGTTGCTGGGAAGGGTGCACACCACAAGGGGTGTATTGTTGTTTGTTCCTCTTTTTCTTTCTCGATTTTACGAGCCCTTGCGTTTACAAGTTTGATTGTCTTTGAAGCGGAATGCCCATGTTCCAACATCCCATGGCGGTGGGCAAGGCTGGTAGCATAATCCGATCAGGCAGCCCTAGACAGGGCATCCCCCATTTCTGAACCCCCTCCCCGCTCAGCTCAGACGAGCTCAAGGCGAACAGGCGACGCGGATCGATTCGGCGGATGGCTCCTCTTTTGGCCACTGTCTTCAGCCATGCGCCACCAGCCTTCCAAAAGAGTGCAACTGCTTCCACAATTTCATTTGGAATGCAGGGTGCTGGTATGACATTCCAACGAAACACAGAGCACAACCATGAATCCGAAGCTTCTTTGAATGAGCCCACATATTGACTTCCTCTCATCTCCCATACGCAGTCGGAGTGCTTTTGCAATACTGCCCATTTGCAAACTCGTATCGGCCCTCTAAAGTGCGGAATTGAAAGCCTTGGGGGTGGCAGCAAATCAACCCAGCTTGAAAGCCATCCATGAACCTTACAAAATTCTTCAAACACAAGAACCATCATGAGTCCCAAGCTTCCTCCTTCAGAACATGCGCTCTGAACCCACGCATGCACACATGGGTCATTTTTTAAGGGTAGCCTCAAAAACGACAGATCCAATATGTCCATCCCATCGTGTCTCCTCTCACTTCAGGTGGACCGACGGGCTCCCCGGGCAGACCCCGCCACCCCCGGTGCTCCCGGGCTACGACGAGTACGTGGCCGCCTGCTGCCGGCGGAGCTTGGGTCAGGAGCCCCCGGCCCTGGCCACCAACCCGCCGCCCAAGCAGCAGCAGCGCCTCGGAAGCGGGAAATCGGAGGGACAAATTCTAGGGGGCCAAAAGGAAAGCTGCGGGTTTGACGTCCCGGAATCGGAAAATCGGGGGAACATATCACTGGGGACCAAAAGAAAAGCCTGGGGGTTTGACGTTCGTTTGTTAGTGATTGTCCGATGTTGCGAACCAAAATTTAGGTTGAATTGGGGGATTTGGGGATTGGGGTGTTGTTGTCTTTTTTTTGGGGACGCTTCTAAAGATGTGGGTGTTAGTTTCGGTTTCCCGTTAAAACAACCAACAAAAGGGTGCCCTCGAAAAAACAACTGCTTCACCAATTAATCGGAACATGTTTCCTGCGTTGCTTGACCTTTGGGGCGGAAAAGCAAGGCTCCGACTTTGGGCCCCTACTGCAAACGACCAAGAAACAACAAGCTTTGAATGGACAAGAGAATAGGGAAGAAATCTTTGCTGGACCAAAGGGTTTGCCAGGGTTCAGCCATGCTTCGCCTTGTTTCAGTCTCCCTCCCCCCCAACCGGACAATCGGATTGCGCGGAAGGAGACCCCAAGAAGTCTAGAACCTGACTCCTTGTTTGGTCCATGATTTTCACGACATTTAACTACCCTGCTTTTCAAAACCAATCTCCCCCCCCGGGAAGTTGGCTTGCAAAGAAGGATTCCTGAATTGAACACAGAGGTTACCACTCGAGAAACCGATTTCTCCAAAGGCGCTTCTTTTGATGCAGTTGGCAGGTGCCAGCCTTGCAACTTGGGAGGCGAACGAATTCCCTTTTGACTTGCGTGTGTAGCGCCCTTCTTGAGATGCCATTTTAGGGAAAAGCCGAAAGCTCTTTGGAGGCTCGTGACAGAAAATGTGTATGTAGAAAACACCTGAACACCAACATGTGTGGAAAGGCGTCCATCCGCCCTTTGCGGATGGTGGGGATCTCGCAAGGCAACGCGTTGTTTGTTTTTTTGCCCGGTCAGCCTAGGTACCTGGAGGCTGACCGCGCCTACGGCTTCGACCCCGGTCCATTTCCTCCCCTGGGATTGGATCCCGCTGCTGCCCCGTGGGTGCCCCCACTCTCCCCGCCATATCCCCCGTACGGCGCAAGCGGGCGATCCGAGATGTCCTACCCGCCACCAGACACGTCGCGGCTGGGCACTCTGGGAACCTCGCCGGATCCAAACGAGAAGGCGAATCAGAGCGGGCCTGAAATGGAGGGCTTGGACTCTCACAAGCGGCCTTTGAAGCTCGACACAACCACCGGCCGAGCGCAGGAGATGCCGCCCAACATGCCCCCCCCGGACTCGTCCCCCAAGTTGAGCACAGATCTTATGGCGACTCTACAGCAGAGCACGCCCCCGCAGCCAGATGAGAGCCCCACCTAGGCAGAAATATGACCTCAGGATTGTTCAATGCGAAAAAAGGAGAATGATAATCTGTCCCGCTAACTTTGTCGCCACGAGGGCTTCTTTGGCACGTCAGCTTGAGCTACTTTGCGGGCCTCGTAGGCCAAGTGCTTGAGCTTGCGAGTGGTTTCGCGGAGCTTCTTGGTTGCCTCCTAACTTGATGATGGCCATTGTTCAACCAGGAGGTCATGGGGGCCATGAAGAGGCAATGAGACGTGAACAAGGCACGCACCAATTCCCTTCATTGCCTCACACTATAGTGTCTTTCTTGCGACCCTACTTCGACAGCCTCACTGCCATATTATATGGTATTGTTTCCAAATATATATTATATACCCATAATATATATATATATATATTATATTATACATATTTATATATATATCTTTTGTCTATTTAAGAAAAAAAATATGAAGAACTTATATATTATATAAAAATATATGAGAATCGTTCGAACGATTTTTGTATTGAATTGGCATTGAGCTCCGCGAAGGTGTTACGAAGGAGGTTATAATTTATTTATGTTTTAAACACCAAATATTTGTATAATTATGGTTTGTTAATAGGAAATTGGAGAAATGAATTATATATATTTATTGATAATATATATATAATATTTATAGCTAAAATTGGTCGGGAAATATAGAATTTGAAAATTATTATAGAATATATTATTGAAAAATAATTAATATAACCATTACTTCTCGCTACAAACCTGTATATTGCATAAAAAACATAATCCCAAAATCATATCGATTTATAATAATAATATATATAATATTATTGTAAGAAATATATTTATTAAATTAATATTATTAATTTTATAAATATATATATAAATAATTTATATTAAATAAATTTATTATTCAAAAATAATATAATATTTAGGTATATATATTATTTATATATATATATTAATATTCATATAATGAATTTATTATCAGAATAATAATTACACTATACTTGCAGCCCCATTTCGAAAATTAATAACACGAAAATAATTTAAAAAATAATTTCGAGAAACCGTCTTAAATATCGCATTTTTTTTTTTTTTTTTTTTTTTTTTCAATATAAAAATATTATATAAATTAAATATCAATAACAAAACTATACAAAATCCTTTTCAATTTATCCGTTAACTTAATATCCGGAAATAAAGGAAAAAATCTATCGATTTTCACAAAATTTTCATCGTGAAAATCCGGATAAAATTACAAAATTCCTCCAAATTAAATATGTATTTATTAAGATTTTGTTTTGCTAAATATTTATCTAAATAATTAAATTTCTTTAATAGGATCCAAACATATATATATAGAAATAAATATTTTTTTAAATTAAATATTCATAATTATAATAAATAAAATCATAGTATAATTAATTTCGATTTTATTATTCTTCCTTATTCAAAATTGTAAATATATTTCAATAATATATTATTAATATGTGTTATTTATATTTCTATTTAATATATTAATATAAAGATTATTCAATAAATATATAAATGTAAATTATAATCTATAATAATCAAAACATATTCAAATATATAATAATTAAAATTATATTTTTATAATTATTATTCATTTTCTATTTCGAATATATAATTCCCATATATAATTAATATATATAATTATTAAAATTTCATTATTTTAAACAATTTCCAACAAATATAATAATCATTAGTTATATTATATATATATTAATCATATTGTTCAATTATATTATTATTATTTTCCATTCAATATATTTAATTATTCCATAATTCAATATTATTCCAAATTCATTTTATTAATTTAAATTATGTTTTTTAATCTTCAATATCAAAACATAAATATCTATAAAAAAGAAAACTAAAAATAATTCGAATTACGAAATTAACAATTAATTGCTTATTGAAATATCTATATATTTATAATATAATTAATATATATATATATATATTTGAAATTGGGAGGGAATTCGGTCTTTGTGTATCAATTCTATTTTCCTGAATAAGTGTTTTATGATTGGCTATTTCTTAATTATGATGTTTGTTCGCGCACCTTGTCGTCTCTAATCTTGTTCGGTGAGACATGAAACACCCCAAGAGGGTGCCAAAATGACGCACAAAGATGCTTATGAGCTTGCCCATGTCATATGGATTGCTAAATCGCCTAATTTTGTGAGTTTTCCTGTGGTCTTTTTGCGCAGCCCTAGACGTAGACCGGGCGGCAAGCCGTGCTGCTCATCTGAAGACCTCAGCGTGAGAGAGACCAATGGAGAGCAACCTGAAAGGTGAAGCCTGCCATGCAACTCACAGCGGACCGAACCTGGCAGATTCAGAGGTTGGTGATCCACCGGTGTTCAGCCATTGTTTCAGTGGCCGAGCTACATAGTAGTACCAACACTCCTTAGGGGGAGTGGTTCGGGGATAGCAAACCATCTTGAACGTTTCGGGAGGAATAGCAAAGTCAGTTCTCACCTCAATTGCAGGGCGTCCTTTCCTTTTTTTTCTGGGGCCTAGGCAAGGGACCGTTCAGAAGCCCTGGCAGATTGGCAGTAAGGAATTCTCATACCACGCAACCATGGGCATTTTGGGGAGGCTTGAATCCGCGTAGGCGACCATTTGAGTGCACGATTTGTCACATGACATGTGAAGTGTTGCTTGGGGATCGTCTCACGGCTTGCAAGTTGTAGATTCGGACACGCTAGGTGGAACGCATGGAGCCGTGGCCGAGGGAGCAGAGGCCCCGCACGTCCAAACAGTATGCCGTTTCCACTGAAGCTTTGCTATGTTCGAGCATGTAGTTGAAAGTTGCGATTTTCGAGGCTGGAGCTGCGAAAGTACATACTGATTCATGAAGCCAGAAGCTATCTCTCACTAGAAGGAGAATACAACAAACAAGCTTGCACTAGCGGGATCTTTCATTCAAAAGAAGGGGACAAAGTGCTTGTGGCACGGTTTGTGCAAGCCCGACATGTGCGGAATCCGTGCGGCGACACGTCATGACATGATTGAGTAGAACCCCTGAACTTTCATGGGCAGCTGCCTGCGCCATTTTAGAGGGGTTCCAAAGCATCGCTTTTGGGGGAGAAGGAACTGAGCCCTCAAACAAATCTGCCGAGTTCTTTTCAATTCCTGGGTTGAAGTTGGTTGGCTTCTACGTATAAGCAACCCACCAGTTTGGGTGTTTTGGGCATTGGTCGAATTGGCGGGTTTTCGGAGACGTTTCTTTGCTGGTCGGGCTGAGGATAGGGGTTCTCCATAAGGCCCACAGGTGGGTCATAGAAGGGGTCTGGACAATCCGCCATGTCTCTCGTTGCTCATGTCGATTTCTGCCAGATCAAACCAAGTCCAGGCAAAAACCGCAGCCCTCCCTCCTGACGGCACAAATGTCCACTTCTCAAAGCTCAGTTTCGGGCATGACTCAACTGTACACCTATGAGTCGCTCGCCTGGCGGCTGGCAGAAGGCCGCAGAACCACCCCACCCCCTAGTTATTCAGGCACTGTGTTGATGTGTGTTGGATTATTTAGTCGGTGGAACTGAGGGACCTGCCGGTTCATGAATCTGCAGTGAACCCTGGACAGTTCTAACATAATGCTGACAGTGAAAGCACATAATATAAATGAATCAATCATCTGAATATCTGCCCCAGATAAAAAATAATAATAATTCAACACCGAATATCCAGTTTCATCTGCATTACATTCAAAATCATAGTCTACCCAAACCATGTCAAGAATCAAACAGGCGGAAGGTCAAGTCCATTTCTAGTTGGGACTGCAGCTCCACCAGACGTTGCGCAGAAGTTGCAGGGCCCCCCCTACATGTCCAACTTGTACTCACCAGCCACCAAGCGGAACTCACTTTGAATCTGATCTAGATGATGGAGAATGATGATCATGATGATGATGATGATGATGATGATGATAATAATCACCAGCGGTGCCTGACGTAACATCGCATGAAAATCATGACGGGATGTGTAATCAGACGAGGATGCTGCGATCCACATGCTGCGCCCTCCCTATTCGAGCAGCTCGCCCTTGCAGACAGGGGGGTCCGCAGCGGATATTATGATTTGAAGTGTGTGTTTGGGCGTGTGTGTGCGCCGGGCTGCTTTGGCGGCTGCTTTAGCCATGTTCTGGCAGCTTTGCTTTGGCCAATGTTTGTCCTACACTCACCCATCCTAAACCCGCTGTCGAAAGCGCTCAATGCACAGAAACAACAGAATTCACCTTATGTTTTACTTCGATGTTTGGCATCAAATTCTCGGGTCGCTGACGCTTGTTTCGGCAAACACGAAGTGTGGGCTACCTGGATCGAATCCCCGCAATGAGGTTTGAATCATCAAGGGGAACATACAGCGACCCATGCAGTGATGACCCAGCCCTTGGGGAGTCTTACTGTGGCAGCTCATTCCTACCTAAAGTTCAAGATGGCCATTGCCCCCCAGTCCTGGGTGCACCACTTAGCTGAGGGGCATCCCATGTAGTCGCGAAAAAGCTAAGGTCAACCTACTCAGTCGAAGGTCGGAGGGTGAAACTCACTTGAATCAGAATGGGCAGTTGGGCTTGTTGCTGTTGGGCTGTTGGGCTGTTGGGCCGCCCGCCGGAGAGCATATACCTGCAGCTGGAGCGTGGAGGCGAGGATTTCACACTCTGTTTGCCCCTGTTGCCGTTATAGGCAACCACGTCGAAACTGTTGGGCCACTCAAACTCTTGGGAGGACTTGGACAAAATTGGACAACTGCACGCCCAAATCGTTGCAATATGGCGTGCTACGGAGCGCGCCTTCGTCTTTGAGAGCGCCCTTTTTCTTGAGCCAAGTTGTTACTTCAGCCAAAGTAACAAGTAGCGTGTTGGGCAGTTCTAACTTTACACCTCATGAACGTGGCTGTAGCCAACACAACTGCTCAAAGCTCCCTGATACAAAACTGGTATTAACATTGTCCAGCGCGCGCCTCATGAGCCTTATGCACCGGCCGGCTCTGCCGCGCCTGGGCGAGAACACCCAACATCCCGCGCCACAGTCGTGGGTGGTCACGCCCTTCTGTTGCAGTCTTGGCTGATGATTGCTTTCCACTTCGGATCCAGCCCGCCCTTTCGACATGCATGGCTTCTTCATTCGGACTGAAGTAAGAATAGGGAAGTCTGAATCCAGAAACATCCGAAGCAAAACATGGAATATGAGAACAGCTGTGAACCGAAGAGTAAAAGGGAAAGTTCAGAAGTAAATGCTCGCAGCACGCCTCTTCGGCTTACGCACCGTTGGCTGGAGCCGCCGCGCCCACCTCGCGCGAGAGAAGGTGGGGCGACTGGTTTGGGGCCGTTGCGTGCGTGCGTGCATGCGTGCGTGGGTGGGTGTGTGTGTGTGTGTGTAGTTGCGTGCTGCGTGTGTACTTGCAGGTGTGTGTGTGTGTGTGTGTGTGTGTGTGTGTGTGTGTGTGTGTGTGTGTGTGTGTGTGTGTGTGTGTGTGTGTGTGTGTGTGTGTGTGTGTGTGTGTGTGTGTATGTGTATGTGTATGTGTATGTGTATGTGTATGTGTATGTGTATGTGTATGTGTATGTGTATGTGTATGTGTATGTGTATGTGTATGTGTATGTGTATGTGTATGTGTATGTGTATGTGTATGTGTATGTGTATGTGTGTGTGTGTGTGTGTGTGTGTGTGTCCGTGCGCGTGTTTGTTTGTTTGTGTGTGTGTGTAGGTGCGCGTGCGTGCGTGCGTGCGTGCGTGCATGCGTGCGTGCGTGGGTGGGTGGGCGGGCAGGCGGGCGGGCGGGCGGGTGCGTGGGTGGGTGGGTGGGTGTCTGTGTGTGTGTGGGTGGGTGCTATTTCAATTTTGTGTTGCACAAAACACGTTTTGTTGCTTTCTCGCCCGAACATGTGTGGTTTGGTTTCTGAACGTTTGCCGTCTTTTCGAGGGTTCTCAGCTCCTTGTCGGTGTTTGCCCCTTGTTTGCACGGTTCAAAAACAGCGTCTACTTTCTTGCTTTTGTGGTGTCCCGATCATTTCCCTGTCGGCCGACCAGCAAGTCTATGGACCCGCCTTGTAAGGGCGGGTCAGGACGATCGCCTGTGAAGACTCTGCAGACAAGCCTCAAGCGGAAGCGCACATGGAAGGTGACTGATTGCACTGAAGCCTTGGTGGGGTACCGCGGTTTCATTGGCCCAAACGTTGTGCGCAACTCGACTAGGTCCTCCAGTAGAGAGATTCGAATAAGGCCTCTTTTCTGTAGTCTATTTTAGTAGGGGAACCCTCCCCCAAAAAAGGGTGAAAGGGCACTACTGGGAGACCTAGTCGAGATGCAAATAGACCATCTGGCTATGGAGCATGTCTGATCCAACCATGCCATTCACTCCCTCAGGTTTATCTGAGGTCACCCCGATCTCAGCGACCAAACAACACAAAAGATGGCATTCAGAAACTGCTTGGATAAATTCTTAGATGAGATTTATCTTTTTGGTGAAGCAAACCCCCCCAAGATGGCATCGGTTTTCCTTTTGATTTCTTCTCAACGCCCAAAAACGGTTGGTACCAAGTCCAGCTCGGCTGCCTAAAGAACCTGAGAAAAAGTTCAACCTTTTGGGCCACCACGAAGCATGGAAACACCAAACATGGAAAAAGGACCAACATGGGAAAACAAAAACAAAAACATGGAAACACATGGAAAAACACATGGACCAACAAGGACCTAACAGTGAAAATGGGCCATGGAAAAGCCAAAAGGTCAGATCAGGTCGTTTTTCGCCTTGGGCGACTGAGCCAAAGGCCCATCTCTTTGGGGCTGCAAATGACGCCAACGGCCCACTCGCCCGCCACCTCGCGGGACTCAGCGGACAACCGCCGCGTTCCAAACCGCGAGGAGATGCCAGGATTTGGTCAAGTTGACCCAAGCAGTTTACCAGAAAAACACACCTGAAGTAAACATCACCCTGGAGGGAAGACACCTTAAATTGGTCAAGAAATCATGCCTGTCAAAGACAAGAGGAAATATGGGGAGCCACAAGAGAAAGGTCATGTGGCTGTACGGATAGGGACCTGTTTGGAGCAAGGGCACACACAAACACAGGCACAAGCAGAACGACAAACGTGACCACAACCATAGCCGCAGCTATCGTCACCCAACCACGGGCTGGGGACAGAAAGGTCTTGGTCAGAGCTATGTATCTGGTGACGATTGGAGGCTAGCGAAGTATCTCCGCAAAAGATCTGCGCCAATGTCCGACACGAAGGCTGCACAATTGATACATGTGAGCTCCTTTTCTTGAGGGTGCAATCCTGGCAGGTTTTAAAGAGACACCAAAGGGACAACTACCCTATTTGGGGGGTCCCAAAAGAGACACGCCCATATCTTCGTACTTCTGGCCCGAAACGTGGAAGCGCACCTGGCGTACTATCTTATGCCAATCTGCAGGGTATCTAGGCCATATTGCCGGAACAGGGAACCCCTCCCAAACAATGATGGACACCCCCCCTACGTGGGGAAGGGGTGAGGGGGTGAGAGGGGTTCATTGTTCTGGCGTTTCAACCATAGAGAATGGAGCTTAATGTGGAGGCCAAGGGTCAAACACCCTTCCCGGAAAAGAAACAAAGATGCTTCAGGACTTCGGGGTGCCTTCCCCATTTCCCGGAAACCCAGAACAACAAAGTTGAACCGAATAGACAGCGCCTGACCCAAAAAGGGCACTCATAGCCCCTTTCTGGGTTCATGTGGGGAATTGTTGTAACCATGGCACCACCAGTGACCCTTGGCTCATCACAAATTATGGGACTTGGACGAAACATTAACTACCATGGCAACACCGAAAGGTCACATCCTAGAAGATGTGACATATTTGTATACCTCGAAGTGCAATCCATGATCCCTTGGAGCGGAAAGCTGGATCTTATCTCAGGTTCCAAAGGGACCGGTTCGCTAAAACACAAAAGGGGCAACACATTTTGAAAGGTCTCCAACAGCTTTTGGAGGCCAAGTAAAAGCTGACCACTTTCATGGACGCGGCTGGCGAGTCAGGCGTGAAAAAGGCACATCCTTGTGTTGGTCCATTTTAAAGGGACACCAGCCTAACAAAAGCGATTTATATCGTATCCACCAATCACCAGATTTGCAAAAAACGGGTCAGCTGGAAACGGAATTCTCAATACGGATCCAACATGCACTTACCCCCGAAAAGGGAATCCTCTCCGAACAGGTTCCTCTAACGGAAAGGCTTGGAGATCCTATTTATCTTCCGGAGAGTTTTCTTTGTTTCAGCCACACCCCTAATATCAATACTGAGTCTCATCCTTGTCTATATTCCCCACTAAACCCATAAGGCTTCACTTGCGTGTGTCCATGTTTTGGACACCCCCCCAAAATGCCGGGTGTCCTTTTGTTTTTACCTTTACACCAGCCCCCGAAAGGCGCACCCACAAACTAACAGACACATATCCCCAGGGCCACCCGCCGCCTTCTGCCGTTTCACCTCCTTACCCAGCACTGTGGAGCCCTCCGGCGCGAAAATCACCAGCCTCGGAATTGACCCATCGGCCCCGCTTCGCTTTGGTTGACAGGGGGGTTCCATATGAATTGGGAGGGTAGCTCGAGAAAACTGGAAAACCACGGGCCCGAAAGCATACTGGAAAGTGCGCGCTGGTTTAATGCATGTGTGTCCTTGAAGGATTCTTAGAATAGAAACACAAAAGCACTATAAATCCAAGGTTTGGCGAAAACACACACATACACATCCCCATGGTGCATGCTTGCCTTACGACAAAGCACATGCACATGCACACACACACACAGAGACACAGACACACACACACAGAGAGACACACACACAGAGAAAGAGACACACACACACACACACAACACACACACACACATACAGAGAGACACACACACACACACAGAGACACACACACACACACACACACACACACACACACACGCACGCACGCACGCACGCACGCGCACGCACACGCACACGCACAACGCGCACGCACACGCACACGCACACGCACACGCGCACGCACACGCGCACGCACACGCACACGCCACACGCACGCACACGCACACGCACACGCACACGCACGCGCACGCGCACGCGCACGCGCACACGCGCACGCACACGCACACGCGCACGCGCACGCGCACGCGCACGCGCACGCACACGCACACGCACACACACACACACCCACACATACGCACACACACGCGCACACACACGCACACGCACACGCACACCCACACACACACACACACACACACACACACACGCACGCACGCACGCACGCACGCACGCACGCACGCACGCACGCACGCACGCACGCACGCACGCACGCACACACGCACACCCACCCCCACACACACACACACGCACACACCCACGCACGCGCACGCGCACGCGCACGCGCACGCGCACGCACACGCACACGCACACGCACACGCACACGCACACGCCCACGCCCACGCCCACGCGCACGCACACGCGCACGCGCACACGCGCACACGCGCACACACGCACACACACGCACACACGCATACACGCACACACGCACACACGCCCACACGCCCACACGCGCACGCACGCACGCACGCACGCACGCACGCACGCACGCACGCACGCGCGCGCGCCCGCACGCACGCACGCACGCACGCACGCACGCACGCACGCACGCACGCACGCACGCACGCACGCACGCACGCACGCATTTGAGAATTCATGAGCACGCACTGACGTGTGCACACAAGTCAAGCAAGGACATGTGTGCAATGGAGCCACCATTGCTCTTTGGGGCACTGCGGTACCGATAGAAGTTGTATTATTATGGGCGTTGAACGTGAACTATAGCCAGGCTCGGAAATCGGGATCGATCAGCTTGGCTGAGCGCATTGCTGCCTGTGTGGACAACCATCTACAAAAGATGGTAAAAGCGGGCAAAACCTTCAGGTAGTCCCAAGCTAAAATGTTCTGTAAGGCAATACTGACACCCCCCGTTTTGAGAACGCCCGAGAAACGGATGCCCGCAGCTTCCCTCAGCCGAGACCGGAAGGCTTCAGGTTAGGGACGAAGCACAAACGCAGGCCTTGGCTGCAAACGGAGCCTTGTTGAGAACGGAGGTTTGTTGCTGAGACGAGTCAGCAATTAAACACACATCTCAACGTTTGGGCTACCCTTGATTCGGTGTATTCAATATGTCGACATCAGCATGTTCATGGTGCGTCTTGCAGGAGGCGTTATCAACAACATGCGGCAGAAACCTATTAGCAGCCGAAACAGGCCAGGGCCAATGCGAGCAGGCGAAACAGGCCAGCGCACGATCAATCAGAATCCAATCCAATCCAATCCAGTCAGTCAATCAATCAACGAACCAATCAACCAACCAATCGGTTTTCATCCATCCATCTATCAACCAATGAAAGAAAACCAAAACAACTCAAACAAACCCGTCCAATCCAATCCATCAATCAACCAATCAATTGCATCAAAACAAAACAAAACAACCATACCAAGTACATATATACCTATATACACACATAAGCAAGCAAATTATCAAGCACTCCATCCCTCCATCAATGAACTCAATCCAATCAAATCACATTAAATCAATCCAAATCAATGAACTCATATCCATCCAGATCAAATCAAATCAAATTAAATCAATCCAAATCAAATGAAATCATATCAATCCAATTCAACTCAAATCAATCCAAATCAAATCCATCAATCAAATCAAATCGACCAACCAACCAATCAACCTATCAATCAATCCACTCAAATCACATCAATCAACCCACTCAATCTATCAAATGAACAACATCAGCTATCAACCAGCCAATCAATGATTCAGGCAAATGAATCAGCCAATCAATCACAGCAAGCGAGCAAACAAGCAAACCTAAACACACAAAACGAGAACACTCAAACAAGCAAGCAACACAAGCAAGTAGCCATCAACCACACACACACACATGTGTGTGTGTGTGTGTGCATATTCACGCGCAAACACATCCATATACATTGGCACAACAAAATCAAGTTGAAACCAAAGCGTTTGGCAGCCCAAAGATCAACCATTGATAGCTGCTGCGGCTGCGAGAATGGCCAACGCGAGAAACACAATATCCCTCCCTTGGCGGTTTCCTGAAGAGAAAAATGCACAAGCTAGTGGAGCATTTATTTCATCCAAAATCGTGGCTGTACAAGCCTACACGCCTTTCGAAAAAACAACTGCTTTGGTGTCTTGGGCCTAGAAGAGGTCCTTTTGCTTTAGGATGGAACTGCATGCCAAAAAGAGGCAACCCGAAATCAATTTTTGGGAGTTACATGTTGTGACCCATCTCTCTGAAATGCACCAACTTGGGTCATGCCCCCTTGAAAAACACAACTTCAATGATTGTCACACTCCTAAGGGCTTTCGACATAGAGATGAATTGTCAAAAGCCCCTTTTTTTCAGGGACTCTCAGCACTGGACCTGTGCATCTTCGTGCATCTATTGCCAAACTTGCTTGGACACCTCCAGGGGAGATTTTAAATCCTTGGCTTGAGGAACCTTTCGCAGCACTGAGGATTCGGCTGCCCTGCTTGCAAGTCGTCGAAGGATGTCACCTGATTGAGACAATACAACTGTCACCAGCGACCAGGTTGTGGGGCTCTGTGCTTTGACCTTCTTTTTCTCAAATAACTCAAACTCGGCTCCTTGAAAGGGTTTCCAAGCACCTTGAGCACAGTTTTCGAGCGGTAAGCCTGTTGGAGGTGGCAAGCAGGTTTTAGCCCAGCAGATCGTGTTGTTCTTCGGATTTTAGTGACGACACCACCAGCATAGGTTTAAACGAAAGTGCCAACGAAACAGACCAAGTCATGAATAAACAAAACAATCCACCAACGCTTCCGCTGGCAGTTTTCAACGTCACAACTTCCAGCCCTCAGCTTGAAGCGTTGAAATCTCAACCCGCAGCGGAGCCGGAAGCTCTTCGTAAGACAAAAAACAGGGATCCGGATGCATTGTGCACCTGAACATTGCAACTTGTGAATGGTGGTTTCCCTGTATTTTGGTGTTGAAAAAGCCACATGTTTCAAATGGTGGCAAAATGGAGATCTTTTAGGGAGCCCCGAAAAATGGATCCAGGATTCCGAGAAACACATTCGGCAACAAACTTCTGGACTGGCGGGTCGAGGTTTTGGAAGCCGTCCGCGAATTCACACGGAACCCCACACAGGGTCCCCAAAAGGAGATTTCAGTTTTCTTTCTAAGGATTTGGGGTTTCTATGGTGATCTGCTTGGAAGTAGTGTAAGAGAAGGAAACCGCAAGCTTTTCACTTCTCACCTCAAGTTGATTGCGTTCACGTTTGCTTTTGCAAGTCGCGTCCCAGAAGTGATCCCTGTGAGTGACAAAAAGGCCACCATGGGAGTGCTACAGCGTGCCTCACCCCAAGAGTTGATAGAGCAAGCCAAAGCACGTTGTTTGCTTGCTCGCGCTTGCATGTTTAGTGATTGTGGCTTTCTTGCGCGGAACCGGGCAAGACCTAACTGTCGAAGTTGACTGAAGGATCGAAATTCCCGACGCGGAAAACAAACGTTCAGCATTCAGAAAAGAAACACTAGCGCGTGTCAAAGTAGCTAGCCAAAGAACATGTGTTGGAGGACACCCAATTGGTGTCAACTTGTTTCAGGTTCTTCCACGTTGCAGGGAATCCTGTTTGATGCAAACCAACAAAGCTTGCGTCGTCGATGGAACTCCTGTCGTTTTCAGGTTTTCTTGAAGCCCCATGCTCTTCGTGAACCAATTCCAGCAAAGTCGACATGGAACTCGTAGAGCCGAGCAATTCTTGCGGGAGGGAAGAAATCTATTGCGATTCCAATGTTGACTTAAAGGGGCAGTGCATTGTGCGTGTGCTTTGAGAAAAAAAGACTTTCAAGTTGATTCCTTTCCCAATTATATCTTATCTTTGTTCAAAACACCGCCGTTTCCTCCTGCTTTCGTGATTTTTCTGGAAAGGATTCTTGGGAATGGGGGACCGTGTCCCCAAGACTCTGACTAAACCTCATTGACCTTGACGAAAAAAAATGGTGCTATGCAAACCACAAGCTCCAGCAATGAGGCTTGCTTCCGGCCTAGAAAAGCTTGGTCATTTTGGCAAACTAAAGGACCAAAGACACATTTCTTTGTGGCTTGGTCATTTTGGTTCGGAGCAACCCCAGTCACTCAGAAGTGAGGAAAGCGGTCGAAAGGTTCTTTTGGGCACTTTGAGGCCTTGCTTTAAAGGAACACAAAGGAAGCCACGCCCGATCTGCACAAATTACTGTACTTCACCAACATGAATTGACCAGTTCCTATCCTGGGTGGAGTCGCTTGTAAATATCCCCCTAGTCTTCCAAAACCGTCCTGTCCAATGTCGCGGTCACAGAGTAGGGTCCTGGCCACCGTTGCATTGTCGCCACCGGTCTCCAGCTCGACCAAGAACATCCTCCGAAGCCGGGAACAACTTGTCCAGGTCCAGTCGCAAATAATCAGTATATTTTGAAAGAACGTGCCATATGAGTTGATTACCTCCCAAACCCAGGGCGTGAGAGCGGAGAAGCAACACAAGTCCGTCAGTCAGGATGTTTTTGGGATATTCTAAGCTTGGGGTTGCAACATAACTTCTTTCTTTTCCACAGTAGGGGACCGCAGCGCCTGGTGCGCAAATTAGACCAAAAGGAAAACCAACAGGAAACCACAAGGAAACTAAAGGAAACAAGGATGACACCGAGAGCAATGCAGAAAAAGGCACAAGGAAACCAAAGAATAACCCGAAAGGAACAACTAGACAACATCAATAAGAAACACAAGTTGACAAAGTGAGCGTAGGCCGTCCGACCCGAGCCGAGTAGCCCCTTCTTTTTCATGGCTTCATGGCTGATGACCTTGGCGACCTTGTACTCGCCTCAGCTGAGCTAACCGCTCCGTGGGAAAGGAAGACGCACAAAAAATGAAGTTTGTTTCAGGGTGTAGGGATGAGAAACCATGCCATCGGCTATTGAAGAGAAGGTGGCTTCTTCTTATTGTTTGACTAACATGAAAGGGCACGAACTCAGAAATGGGTGCCTCCCAGGGAGCGCTTGCACCTCCATATTTGTGGAAGGGTCTGGCAAACTAAATTGTTGACCACATCAAACAATGCACACACTGGAACTGTGGTGCAACAAAGGTCGCTTTCGGTTCGGGAAGGCTGATATGGTGCAAGGCTCAGATCAAGTCGGGGCTGGATGACAGGTATTTGGGGGTCTGGAAAGAGCCAATTTGAGGAAACCGCAATCCATCTGTGCAAACAAGCAGCGCCCGAGTCCGGGCAACCGTCTGCCATTCAGCAATCCCACGAGCCACCCCCAAGGCGAACCGATTGCCTGGCTTTTGGAGAAAGATGGGCATAAGCGGAATGCTCACAAATCAGGGGGCCTCTTCATTTTTCCAATAAGGTAGCCTGCTGAAACATCAGGGCATCCCTGTGCGTTCGCGGCAGTACCTGAACCGCAAGATTCGTCACGCAGACAAAGCAAACAGACTTGGCGAGACAGCATTCTATCAGGGCTTGACAAAATGAACATGCTGATCCATCCTGCTTCGAGCCAGCACAGATAAGATCCCCAAAGGGGCCTGAATTTTGCTGAACACGTCGATAAGCTGCCAAGAGGCCAAGTATTGGTAGGCTTTCCTATGAAAGTGAGTCAAACCCATGTGTTAGTCTCCTTTCCAGCTCAAGTTGTCATGAGGATAATATGTTCAACCCATATAGCGTACATAGCGGGTATGCAGTTGCTTCCGAATGGGGGGACGCCCTCTACATGTGCTGTTCCCTTTTTGCTGCCTTTTAAAGCAGCACCAAAAAGGATATCTTTAGTCTCTGCATGCTTAAAGTCTCAGACATGTTGGAACACGCCAAAAAAAGACCGCCTTTCTAGGCCTACCCTAAGTAGTCTCCATGTCGAGTGGGACTGTGCCAAACAATTGCTTTCCTCTGTTACCTGTATGACTCCCAAAATGATGGTTTTGCTTTTGGTCCTTTGAAACCACCAAGAAAGGGGTACTCTCAAACAAGGACACCCTGTACAAGAAGCGCCATCCAAAAGAGGAATGCCATCCCTTTCACGCCTCCCGGAGGCAATAGCGGCTACGCGGCGGGGCCCTTCAGGGAGTCGCTGGGCGCCGAGCTGTGCTTCTCACCCTTCGGCTCTTTGACGACCTCCTGTCCGGAAACATACTGTGGATGGACGAAATCCTGCACCACCTCAGAATCCCTGGAATGATGATTCCCCTGTAAATACCAACAAACAATGGGTTTCAACCATGGTTTCGAAGTGGTGCGAAATGGATTTCGCAACCATCCACAGGGCCTCTGTTTCTACACGCCAAACATGGAAGCTCCCCCAGTCTTCCGAAGCGCGAGCTTCCATGGAATCGAGGGTAAATATTGAAACCCCCAAACCAGTGGAGTCTCTTTGGTGTCCATTTAAAACCACCAAACATGGGGCATCCTCAAGGACGAAGCCATGGTTGTGGGGAATGTTCTGTATGTATTTATCACTTTAACGGGACTTTTCCCTTTTGGACCTTAACGCAATGGGCACCCAAACTTAAAGGTTCAAAGGATTGGAGCGAATTGCAAATCCGATCACACACACACACACACGTGAACGTGTGGATTCCCCAAAAACAACTTCATCAGTCGAATGTCTGATTTGCCCCAATCGGTGAACATTTTGTTCAACAAAACTCAAAGAAGCCAAACCAGCCAACAAGTTGGATCCACCCCAAAATCAGGAACAACGGGTCCAAAGAAGCCTACATTGGCTTAGTTGGGACAGAGCATCATTGGCTAGATTCCATCAAGTGTGTAGCTCCAACTGTATGTCATTCACAGTTGGGTTAGGTGACCGACTTTGTGGGAGACCTTGGACAAGTGCGCAAAACAACCCTTTCCTGAGATACTAAAGTGGGGTCGTCTCTATGACAAACGGGGACTCTCTTCAATCACAGAAAGCGGCCCCAAAAAAAAATCCACCCTCTATGACGAGAAATGACAGGAACCGCACACTGAGTTCTTGAGAAAACCTTTAAATTGGTCACTTAAACGGACTCCGTCGGAGCCGCTGCAAAACCAGCATGGAAACCCTACAAAGGGTCCCTTTCCCTTTGAAAGCAACTCATGCCTTGGGCACTTCTTGGGATTGCTTCTGCTTGTGTCCATTGATTTTGAGGGCAGTACCCATCAAAATACCGGAGCCATCTCTCCTTTTGCAGGCGACTGCGAAGTGGCAGGACTTCCGATTCTCCGAAAGGGAATGACCCTATCAACATGGAGCGGACTTGGGGTCCCGGAAGAGTTCTGGTTGAATCCAACTGGATGGCAATTGCCCCTCGGCCCAAAAGCTTCAACACGTTGGTGAGTAGACAAACAACCTACTTGAATACATTGCTTAGCTTAATGCTTGATGTGTTTGCTTTTGATGTATGTTATATCTTTACAAGTTTAGGGATTGGGCGAACTGCTGCGCCTGGCGTTCAGCCTAGTCTTGGGGTCTGGTGCAACATGGCTCTGCCGGTTGGGGCTGTCCTCCACTGCTGGGGCCGCCTCCTTAGACATGAAACCACTTCGATTCGGGTGCGTCTGTTTGGGAGTACCCTCCAACATAAGTGGCCCACAAAACGGGTACCAAAATGGAACCCTGGTAAGTGGAAACATGGACCAAAACCTGCGTAACCCCTCCTGTTTGATTTTGAGCCACAGCCACATGGGACCTGACTGTAGGTCCTTGAAGACGATTTGTCCTCAAGGGACTTTCTGGGTTCCATGTTGGTGGGAGAGTGCCCGTTTTGCTTGTGAAGGAAAGCCAAAGAGACACCATGCATGTTGGCCGCGGTTCTCTCCTTTAGCAGCAATCCGATGTGAGGTAAACGTTTAAAAGCACGCAGCAACATGCATACCCAAAAAGCACAAGCGAGTAAAGTCTGGGTGGGACTCCGGGCCCCCATGGTGCGAGGCTACGAAGGAAACAAACTTTCAAGCGAAAGCTTCCCATAGAAATGGGTGCATTTGTTGGGACTTGTTCAAAGGGATACCAAACAAAACGATCACTGTCATTTCGGAATTTTAGCACATACTCAAATGCAGTAACAGTTCTAGCGGGGCAGCCGGGTTTCTGATAGCCGGGTTTCTCATAGTACCCTCACCACCAAACCGAGAAGGTGGTGGTGTAAGTCGGACTGTGCGTTCCATCCCCCCAAAAAAATGGTGTTCCCCCCTCCATACATGATTTGCCTATCCACAATGGCTGACTTTGGAATGGCCCCTGTGTTGCGGGCTACGCAACGGGTACGCATGGGGTGGGGGTTGTGTTTTCTCGGCCTTATGGTTCTATTCTCAACTAGGTCCTCCAGTAGAGAGGTTAGAATAAGGGTACTCCGGGAGCGACTCAACCGGAGGGGTGAAGCGAACTGGCAAAGGGCACAAAGGCGGCACAAAGGGGGGGAACCCCCTTTGTCCCGACTGGTACAGGCGAAGCACGTAGAAGGCGGGCCCAGCACCCACCATTCCACCCGGAGGTAGGGGATGGGGGGGTAGGCAATAGGCACAAATCATCCATCCCTTCCACAGGCGAAAAACACCTGCGGTTGCACTGCAGAAAACTGCACGGACCGGCGGCCAAGACAGGGCCCATGAGCCCGGGCAGCATGTCCAGAAAAAGCCAGAGTAGTCCGTGCAACTCCAGGTGGGCAGTGCCCGAAAAGCTCGACAAACTGCACCAGGCCGACACCTGTGCTGGTCCCCGGGGACCGGAGGGCCAGGAGGCAGCGAGCATCCACGGTAGCTGCATCGGTAGACGCTGCAGCCGTCGCACCAGACAAAGCCGAGGGGCTGTAGCTGAAGTGTAACTGCAAAAGGCAAGGTACTGAGCCCACACATGACTAGAAAGCCCAGTCCTTGGGCACACGGAGACGGGACGCACGAAGGACCTGCACAACCCAGGTTTGCTCCTCGGTACGCTGCAAATAGGCATTCCGCCAAGCCCCACGAGGCCAAGTGACACCTGTGTAGTGACCAAGCCGAGGCTCCCAAAATGGTGGGAACGCCGTGGGGTTGCACCTGGAAATACAGCAGCAGACAGCTTTGTAGTGCACAAGCAAGTCGCGGCTGTAGCAGCTGCACCCTTCTGGCAGGGCAAGATGCGCGGATTGCGCCTCCAAAACAGAAGAGCCGCCTCCAGGCCGGGCTGGAATCCTCCTGGGCGAGTCTCCCACACTGCCGAGCGCAGGACAACGGTCCAAGTATGCCAGAGGTCCGGGCCATGTGGCCAGTCCCGCGGCCTAGTCAGGGCCGCAACCACATACAGGTCCGCAGGGCCATGGCGGTGACCTAAACCTACACCTACCTCTACGCCTAGGGCATCTGGGGCCTCAGGGTGGGACACCAAGGGGCCAGGGGCGTCATCAGGGGCAGGAGGAACAGGAGTGGCCGCCAAGGCAAGGAATAGCTGCTGCAGCCAGAGGTGACGCCCATAAGCGGAAAAGAAGAGCGCAGACAAGCGCGGAGCTGAAAGAGCCAAAGAGGCACGGGCCGCTCGCTTGGCTGCCAAATCAGCAACATGATTACACCGAGCATGAAGGAGCTCAACCGGGGTAAGAGGCTGGTCCAGAGGGACATGACCCCTGATCCAATGGAGAAACAAAGCAAAGCCAGCGAATGACGCAAGCGAACCAGGTCCCACAAACCCAGAGATCAGCAGCCGCAACATTAGGGGCAACAGAGCCGCGATGGCAGAAGCCGTGCCAAGCCCGGACAGCGACTTCGGAGTCAGTATGCACCGTGAGGCGGCCACGGGCAAACGAGGGGCCCCGGGACGGGCCCACAAGCACAAAGCCTAGCAGAGGCACTGATGACAGCAAAACCCGCCACAGCAAAAAGTAAGTGGTGGGGCAAGAACACGCTGCCATCGGTCCACAGGTGGACATCCCCGCAGCCGAACCAGGGGAGTGGGGAAGTGTTAGGCCAGGGCGTAGCCGGGAGGGCGGCGCTGGACAGGTCAGCCGGGACCTCCGCCAGGGCGTGAGTGTAAAAGGCAGGGCCCTGTGCCTCTCGCTGGGCAGGAGGTCCGATGCGGTTGTGAAGAGAGACACAATGCACCAGATGGGCGATGGACTCATCAGCGTCACAAAAGCGGCAACCCGGTGAAGCGGCCAAGTTGGAGGCATAGAGCCGGTCGGTAGCTGCTGAGCTAACCACAACCGCAGGAGCGACGGCCCGATTGACAGGGAAGGCACGGGCGAAGGAAGTCCAACCAGGACCCGGCGGCACAGACCAGGGAGTACGGGTGAGCGCCACGTCAAGCAGGCCAGAAGGACCAGGGACAACATCAGTGCGCTTCCCACGGCAGGCCCTCCCCCAAAAAAGAAACGGTAAAAGGGCACTACTGAGACCTAGTCAAAGGCATCCCCCAGAATATGGCTTCAATGCAAGGGTCGCAGGAACAAAGCCTCATGACCCCCATCCAGCATCAGCCCAGTGCTCCAGGGTTTCGCCGGTTCATGCTGAAATGAGATGGACTTTTTGAATCCAGTCGCACAAATCCCCCCCACCCCCCCCGCACTTTTGGGCTAAAACATTCCGCCTCCGGGCACGGCTCTGAATGAAATCGAGGTTGGAAAGGGCGAAGGTGGGCCATCGGTGTGACTATCGGGTCAAACAAAGAGATTCACTTATCAACAAAAATGGGGCCAAAGCCCCGTGTACCCCAATTGTGCCTCTCATGGACAGCCGATCAGCCTGAAGCCTCTCATTCTTCAAGTCACCGGTTAAGTTGTTGTCGTCTCCAGAAAATTCTACCAACTCCCCCGGGCGCATGCAAAGCCTGCTAAGGGCGTGGCTGCAACTTCCTCCTTCTTAGGCTCGTCCTTGGGCTTTCCACCCTTAGGCTTTTTCCTAACCTTAACTTCTTCCTCCTCCTCTTCTTCCTCTTCCTTCTTGCCCTTCTTGCCCTTCGCCTTTGCCTTGCTATCATCCTCTTCTTCCTCCTCTTCCTCTCCTTTCTTTCCTTTCTTTCCTTTCTTGCCCTTGGCCACGGTTGATGCCCTTCTGGTTTCGCGTTTACAAACAGCAGGCTACAGTAACTATGTCAGTTGCTCAGGTCAGATGGTTTGACCATCACACACACGGGCCATGTTCAGTATTCATTCTTTCCTGTGATTGCCCTCAAGCCCCAATGGGTAATCAACATAGTGGTTGGTGGCTCCTATCCCATGACTGACAGCGGCAACCAACATGGTAGGAATTCATTCGTAATGTGGGCTTGCTCATTTCTTCCGACCAGTCTCCCCTGAGTGGATGTGCCAAACATCCCCAAACATGTCAAACAACCTTTCATGCTTCTCACTATCTTGCAAAAAAGTGCAGAGTCCCGTCTCAGGGATAGTGAGTAGCTGCAGAGTTTGGGAAACTCACTTGGTGCCCTTGGTGGTTCAGTCCTGAGAGACCAAAAATGAGTAGTGCCTACCCTAGATTTCTGGATCTCCACGGCAAAGGAAGGGTGGCGTCCACCAGCAACATCCAAGGAGCCTTCGCCTTCACCTCCTCCACCTGCGTGGAAGCAACGCCCGCTAAGGGGTGTGTGCCAACAATTGGGAAGGTCTTCAACCATACTTCGACTCAGTGGACGAAATATAAACAAAGCGAAGAACTGGGCGCCATATAGAAGGAAACTTCCCTGGAGGTCGCACTCCCCCTTGTCAAGTCGCATGTATGCGACTTGCCTGCATAGTGGAAGCTCCAAAACGGGCGGGACACGTTGGACACAACGGTCAATCTAGATAACACACACACACAGACATCCAAGAGTAGGACCCCTTTTGGCTGTTGATTGAACACTAATTAACAGGCGTCCCTTTCGACCTGACCAGGTCGAACTCCAAAACCGGTAAGATACATGCAGACACGGCAAGCGGTATAATTAGTATGCAATGTGAATAGGCACGCTTTGTTCATATACAACCCTGCATCTGCGTATAAATATATATATATATATATGTACAGCGGATCCGCAAGTACTATCTGTCTTGTTCAATATCAAGCTTTCCATGTTTCCTCACTAGCACATGATGCCTATCCTGACTGATCGAGCTTCCGCCTAAGGCACATGGCTGGCAACATCTGTGCGCAAACAGCTACGATAAACCCAAAAAGTTGCGCGCGCGCGCGGGGAAGGAATTGCAATATTTCCGGAAGCACCCAAAGACCCAAGGGGAGACTTCGGGGTTGAACTGGACGCTGGTGAAACAAAAATGCAACTAAACCCCCTAGAGTTTCTTCGGACACACACACACACAAATCAGGCCCCAGGCTCAAAAAGGTGGCCGATGAGCAATGAAACATCCCTGGCCTGCTTTGCCTTCTCCTTCTCTAGCTTCGCTTCCTCCTCCTTTTGCTTCTTCATCTCCTGTCAGCTTGCCACTTCTCATCTTGTCCAGTGGCCACGAACAAACATTCGAAATACACTTTACAGGGTGCACGCTGGGAATTCTCACTTAGTAAAAAACGTTTTTTGCGCATGTTTTGCACCCATTCAACGGGTTTTCCCAAAGCCAGGTGTCACAAAGGCAATCATGGCCTTGAGTGCCTCTGAGCACACGGGCGATTTGCACCTGAGATAATCCCGTCGAACCAACACAGCAACCTGAGTTGCTTAGGGTCCGTAGAACCTTCTGCTTCTCACTCCCCGGTGCTTGGTGCAAAATGACGCTGATACCGAAGACGGAATCCAGTGCCTAGTTGATTGCTTCAATGAACATTCCCTTGGCCGCACCTTCTTCGTCCCATTTCCCGCACGTGAACTCAATCAACACGGGCCGGATAGAAGTGACATTTCAAAACCTGAGTGGGACTCAAAATGAAACTGCCCTGTTGTGGTCCGTACTTAGTCGACCACAAAATGTATTTTGATACCGTTTGAGTTGGCACCCTTTGCGGTTGAGTCCTGAGAGACCAAAAGTGAGTAGTGCGTACCCTAGATTTCTGGATCTCCATGGCAAAGGAAGGGTGGCGTCCACCAGCAACATCCAAGGAGCCTTCGCCTTCACCTCCTCCACCTGCGTGGAAGCAACGCCCGCTAAGGGGTGTGTGCCAACAATTGGGAAGGTCTTCAACCATACTTCGACTCAGTGGACGAAATATAAACAAAGCGAAGAACTGGGCGCCATATAGAAGGAAACTTCCCTGGAGGTCGCACTCCCCCTTGTCAAGTCGCATGTATGCGACTTGCCTGCATAGTGGAAGCTCCAAAACGGGCGGGACACGTTGGACACAACGGTCAATCTAGATAACACACACACACAGACATCCAAGAGTAGGACCCCTTTTGGCTGTTGATTGAACACTAATTAACAGGCGTCCCTTTCGACCTGACCAGGTCGAACTCCAAAACCGGTAAGATACATGCAGACACGGCAAGCTGTATAATTACTATGCAATATAGATAGGCACGCTTTGTTCATATACAACCCTGCATCTGTGTACATATATATATATATATTACATGTACAGAGTAGTATGATCCGCAAGTACTATCTGTCTTGTTTAATATCAAGCCTTCCATGTTTCCTCACTAGCATATGATACCTATCCTGACTGATCGAGCTTCCGCCTAAGGCACATGGCTGGCAACATCTGTGCGCAAACAGCTACGATAAACCCAAAGGTGCGCGCGCGCGGGGAAGGAATTGCAATATTTCCGGAAGCACCCAAAGACCCAAGGGGACACTTCGGGGTTGAACTGGACGCTGGTGAAACAAAAATGCAACTAAACCCCCTAGAGTTTCTTCGGACACACACACACAAATCAGGCCCCAGGCTCAAAAAGGTGGCCGATGAGCAATGAAACATCCCTGGCCTGCTTTGCCTTCTCCTTCTCTAGCTTCGCTTCCTCCTCCTTTTGCTTCTTCATCTCCTGTCAGCTTGCCACTTCTCATCTTGTCCAGTGGCCACGAACAAACATTTGAAATGCACTTTGTTGAATTGACTTGAAGCCAAACTGGAAACCGGGTGCACGCTGGGAATTCTCACTTAGTAAAAACGTTTTTTGCGCATGTTTTGCACCCATTGAACGGGTTTTCCCAAAGCCAGGCGTCACAAAGGCAATCATGGCCTTGAGTGCCTCTGAGCACACGGGCGATTTGCACTTGAGATAATCCCACCGAACCAACACAGCAACCTGAGTTGCTTAGGGTCCGTAGAACCTTCTGCTTCTCACTCCCCGGTGCTTGGTGCAAAATGACGCTGATACCGAAGACGGAATCCAGTGCCTAGTTGATTGCTTCAATGAACATTCCCTTGGCCGCACCTTCTTCGTCCCATTTCCCGCACGTGAACTCAATCAACACGGGCCGGATAGAAGTGACATTTCAAAACCTGAGTGGGACTCAAAATGAAACTGCCCTGTTGTGGTCCGTACTTAGTCGACCACAAAATGTATTTTGATACCGTTTGAGTTGGCACCCTTTGCGGTTGAGTCCTGAGAGACCAAAAGTGAGTAGTGCGTACCCTAGATTTCTGGATCTCCATGGCAAAGGAAGGGTGGCGTCCACCAGCAACATCCAAGGAGCCTCCGCCTTCACCTCCTCCACCTGCGTGGAAGCAACGCCCGCTAAGGGGTGTGTGCCAACGCTTAAGGGAAGCCAAGGAAAGCATATGCCTCAAATTGGCGAGGTCTTCAACCATTCTTCGACTCAGCTGGTGAACAAATAAGCTCAGGTGATATCCCCAACATATCCCCAACAGCATGCGGTGCTCCTTTTGGTGCTCACCACCCCGCAGCCCTCGCAGAACCTCGTAGAACCCTGGTGGAACCCCAGTGGAACCCCAGAGGAACCCAGGTGGAACCCTGGTGGAACCCTGGTGGAACCCTCGTGGAACCTTACCTCAGGCCGCCCCGGACCACCCCGAGCCTATCTGGGCTGAGACCCCAAAGCTTTCAGCTGTCGGGGAAAAACAAAGCGAAAAAACTGGGCGCCCTATGGGAAACTTCCCTGGAGGTCGCAATCCCCCTTGTCAAGTCGCATGTATGCGACTTGCCTGCATAGTGGAAGCTGACATGTCAGACACAATGGTCTAGATAACACACACACACACAAGCATCCAAGAGTAGGACCCCTTTTGGCTGTTGATTGAACGCTAATTAACAGGCGTCCCTTTCGACCTGACCAGGCCGAACTCCAAAACCGGTAAGATACATGCAGACACGGCAAGCTGTATAATTACTATGCAATATAGATAGGCACGCTTTGTTCATATACAACCCTGCATCTGTGTATATATATATATATATATATTACATGTACAGAGTAGTATGATCCGCAAGTACTATCTGTCTTGTTTAATATCAAGCCTTCCATGTTTCCTCACTAGCATATGATACCTATCCTGACTGATCGAGCTTCCGCCTAAGGCACATGGCTGGCAACATCTGTGCGCAAACAGCTACGATAAACCCAAAGGTGCGCGCGCGCGGGGAAGGAATTGCAATATTTCCGGAAGCACCCAAAGACCCAAGGGGACACTTCGGGGTTGAACTGGACGCTGGTGAAACAAAAATGCAACTAAACCCCCTAGAGTTTCTTCGGACACACACACACACAAATCAGGCCCCAGGCTCAAAAAGGTGGCCGATGAGCAATGAAACATCCCTGGCCTGCTTTGCCTTCTCCTTCTCTAGCTTCGCTTCCTCCTCCTTTTGCTTCTTCATCTCCTGTCAGCTTGCCACTTCTCATCTTGTCCAGTGGCCACGAACAAACATTCGAAATACACTTTACAGGGTGCACGCTGGGAATTCTCACTTAGTAAAAAACGTTTTTTGCGCATGTTTTGCACCCATTCAACGGGTTTTCCCAAAGCCAGGTGTCACAAAGGCAATCATGGCCTTGAGTGCCTCTGAGCACACGGGCGATTTGCACCTGAGATAATCCCGTCGAACCAACACAGCAACCTGAGTTGCTTAGGGTCCGTAGAACCTTCTGCTTCTCACTCCCCGGTGCTTGGTGCAAAATGACGCTGATACCGAAGACGGAATCCAGTGCCTACTCTTTTCACCTCCAGGTGAGCTCGCCAGAAATTATGCAGAACACTGTACCAAACAGACTCACTGAGTCTATTTGAACATAAACATTGCGCGACTTTCCCTTGCAACCCTTGCTCCAGCATCACTCTACTAACTCGCTTCCCATCGCGTGGATGGGCCAACCAAAAGCCTGGCTTTTTGTTTGCCACTCAGATGGTCCAACTCAAAAAGTGACCATCCACTCCAAGTTCCGAGACTCCAAACAGTGAGCGAAACAAATTCGAGCGTTCCACTTGTGGCCCGGCAGCCCTCGCCCCGAGAAAACTGACAAGTTGCCAGGGGTGGACCTCGCACTTTCCATCTCCGGGCGTCCCAAAGGGTCGAGAACAAGAAGAGCAAGGTTTCACCTTAAGACCAACCAGTGCTTTATGGAGCCCGGTGGATTGGCTAGGGATTCCCTTGACAGGAGGACCATATAATTGGTGGTTTGGAGCCCGGTGGATTGGTTCGGGATGGTTTCCTCGGGGTGCAGATCCAAATCCAAGCCATCCGGGCCCACCACCAAGGGGTTTACCTGAAAGGTGCCCTCATAAACTCGCTGGCTGAGTGGATGGCCCAAAAAAAGTTCAAACTTTATATTTCCCACTAAAATGGTCTTCCCAAAAAGATTAAAGTTCCTGAACTCGACAAACTGCACCAGGCCGACACCTGTGCTGGTCCCCGGGGACCGGAGGGCCAGGAGGCAGCGAGCATCCACGGTAGCTGCATCGGTAGACGCTGCAGCCGTCGCACCAGACAAAGCCGAGGGGCTGTAGCTGAAGTGTAACTGCAAAAGGCAAGGTACTGAGCCCACACATGACTAGAAAGCCCAGTCCTTGGGCACACGGAGACGGGACGCACGAAGGACCTGCACAACCCAGGTTTGCTCCTCGGTACGCTGCAAATAGGCATTCCGCCAAGCCCCACGAGGCCAAGTGACACCTGTGTAGTGACCAAGCCGAGGCTCCCAAAATGGTGGGAACGCCGTGGGGTTGCACCTGGAAATACAGCAGCAGACAGCTTTGTAGTGCACAAGCAAGTCGCGGCTGTAGCAGCTGCACCCTTCTGGCAGGGCAAGATGCGCGGATTGCGCCTCCAAAACAGAAGAGCCGCCTCCAGGCCGGGCTGGAATCCTCCTGGGCGAGTCTCCCACACTGCCGAGCGCAGGACAACGGTCCAAGTATGCCAGAGGTCCGGGCCATGTGGCCAGTCCCGCGGCCTAGTCAGGGCCGCAACCACATACAGGTCCGCAGGGCCATGGCGGTGACCTAAACCTACACCTACCTCTACGCCTAGGGCATCTGGGGCCTCAGGGTGGGACACCAAGGGGCCAGGGGCGTCATCAGGGGCAGGAGGAACAGGAGTGGCCGCCAAGGCAAGGAATAGCTGCTGCAGCCAGAGGTGACGCCCATAAGCGGAAAAGAAGAGCGCAGACAAGCGCGGAGCTGAAAGAGCCAAAGAGGCACGGGCCGCTCGCTTGGCTGCCAAATCAGCAACATGATTACACCGAGCATGAAGGAGCTCAACCGGGGTAAGAGGCTGGTCCAGAGGGACATGACCCCTGATCCAATGGAGAAACAAAGCAAAGCCAGCGAATGACGCAAGCGAACCAGGTCCCACAAACCCAGAGATCAGCAGCCGCAACATTAGGGGCAACAGAGCCGCGATGGCAGAAGCCGTGCCAAGCCCGGACAGCGACTTCGGAGTCAGTATGCACCGTGAGGCGGCCACGGGCAAACGAGGGGCCCCGGGACGGGCCCACAAGCACAAAGCCTAGCAGAGGCACTGATGACAGCAAAACCCGCCACAGCAAAAAGTAAGTGGTGGGGCACGGAGACGGGACGCACGAAGGACCTGCACAACCCAGGTTTGCTCCTCGGTACGCTGCAAATAGGCATTCCGCCAAGGAGGCCAAGTGACACCTGTGTAGTGACCAAGCCGAGGCTCCCAAAATGGTGGGAACGCCGTGGGGTTGCACCTGGAAATACAGCAGCAGACAGCTTTGTAGTGCACAAGCAAGTCGCGGCTGTAGCAGCTGCACCCTTCTGGCAGGGCAAGATGCGCGGATTGCGCCTCCAAAACAGAAGAGCCGCCTCCAGGCCGGGCTGGAATCCTCCTGGGCGAGTCTCCCACACTGCCGAGCGCAGGACAACGGTCCAAGTATGCCAGAGGTCCGGGCCATGTGGCCAGTCCCGCGGCCTAGTCAGGGCCGCAACCACATACAGGTCCGCAGGGCCATGGCGGTGACCTAAACCTACACCTACCTCTACGCCTAGGGCATCTGGGGCCTCAGGGTGGGACACCAAGGGGCCAGGGGCGTCATCAGGGGCAGGAGGAACAGGAGTGGCCGCCAAGGCAAGGAATAGCTGCTGCAGCCAGAGGTGACGCCCATAAGCGGAAAAGAAGAGCGCAGACAAGCGCGGAGCTGAAAGAGCCAAAGAGGCACGGGCCGCTCGCTTGGCTGCCAAATCAGCAACATGATTACACCGAGCATGAAGGAGCTCAACCGGGGTAAGAGGCTGGTCCAGAGGGACATGACCCCTGATCCAATGGAGAAACAAAGCAAAGCCAGCGAATGACGCAAGCGAACCAGGTCCCACAAACCCAGAGATCAGCAGCCGCAACATTAGGGGCAACAGAGCCGCGATGGCAGAAGCCGTGCCAAGCCCGGACAGCGACTTCGGAGTCAGTATGCACCGTGAGGCGGCCACGGGCAAACGAGGGGCCCCGGGACGGGCCCACAAGCACAAAGCCTAGCAGAGGCACTGATGACAGCAAAACCCGCCACAGCAAAAAGTAAGTGGTGGGGCAAGAACACGCTGCCATCGGTCCACAGGTGGACATCCCCGCAGCCGAACCAGGGGAGTGGGGAAGTGTTAGGCCAGGGCGTAGCCGGGAGGGCGGCGCTGGACAGGTCAGCCGGGACCTCCGCCAGGGCGTGAGTGTAAAAGGCAGGGCCCTGTGCCTCTCGCTGGGCAGGAGGTCCGATGCGGTTGTGAAGAGAGACACAATGCACCAGATGGGCGATGGACTCATCAGCGTCACAAAAGCGGCAACCCGGTGAAGCGGCCAAGTTGGAGGCATAGAGCCGGTCGGTAGCTGCTGAGCTAACCACAACCGCAGGAGCGACGGCCCGATTGACAGGGAAGGCACGGGCGAAGGAAGTCCAACCAGGACCCGGCGGCACAGACCAGGGAGTACGGGTGAGCGCCACGTCAAGCAGGCCAGAAGGACCAGGGACAACATCAGTGCGCTTCCCACGGCAGGCCCTCCCCCAAAAAAGAAACGGTAAAAGGGCACTACTGAGACCTAGTCAAAGGCATCCCCCAGAATATGGCTTCAATGCAAGGGTCGCAGGAACAAAGCCTCATGACCCCCATCCAGCATCAGCCCAGTGCTCCAGGGTTTCGCCGGTTCATGCTGAAATGAGATGGACTTTTTGAATCCAGTCGCACAAATCCCCCCCCCCCCCACTTTTGGGCTAAAACATTCCGCCTCCGGGCACGGCTCTGAATGAAATCGAGGTTGGAAAGGGCGAAGGTGGGCCATCGGTGTGACTATCGGGTCAAACAAAGAGATTCACTTATCAACAAAAATGGGGCCAAAGCCCCGTGTACCCCAATTGTGCCTCTCATGGACAGCCGATCAGCCTGAAGCCTCTCATTCTTCAAGTCACCGGTTAAGTTGTTGTCGTCTCCAGAAAATTCTACCAACTCCCCCGGGCGCATGCAAAGCCTGCTTGGCTGCAACTTCCTCCTTCTTAGGCTCGTCCTTGGGCTTTCCACCCTTAGGCTTTTTCCTAACCTTAACTTCTTCCTCCTCCTCTTCTTCCTCTTCCTTCTTGCCCTTCTTGCCCTTCGCCTTTGCCTTGCTATCATCCTCTTCTTCCTCCTCTTCCTCTCCTTTCTTTCCTTTCTTTCCTTTCTTGCCCTTGGCCACGGTTGATGCCCTTCTGGTTTCGCGTTTACAAACAGCAGGCTACAGTAACTATGTCAGTTGCTCAGGTCAGATGGTTTGACCATCACACACACGGGCCATGTTCAGTATTCATTCTTTCCTGTGATTGCCCTCAAGCCCCAATGGGTAATCAACATAGTGGTTGGTGGCTCCTATCCCATGACTGACAGCGGCAACCAACATGGTAGGAATTCATTCGTAATGTGGGCTTGCTCATTTCTTCCGACCAGTCTCCCCTGAGTGGATGTGCCAAACATCCCCAAACATGTCAAACAACCTTTCATGCTTCTCACTATCTTGCAAAAAAGTGCAGAGTCCCGTCTCAGGGATAGTGAGTAGCTGCAGAGTTTGGGAAACTCACTTGGTGCCCTTGGTGGTTCAGTCCTGAGAGACCAAAAATGAGTAGTGCCTACCCTAGATTTCTGGATCTCCACGGCAAAGGAAGGGTGGCGTCCACCAGCAACATCCAAGGAGCCTTCGCCTTCACCTCCTCCACCTGCGTGGAAGCAACGCCCGCTAAGGGGTGTGTGCCAACAATTGGGAAGGTCTTCAACCATACTTCGACTCAGTGGACGAAATATAAACAAAGCGAAGAACTGGGCGCCATATAGAAGGAAACTTCCCTGGAGGTCGCACTCCCCCTTGTCAAGTCGCATGTATGCGACTTGCCTGCATAGTGGAAGCTCCAAAACGGGCGGGACACGTTGGACACAACGGTCAATCTAGATAACACACACACACAGACATCCAAGAGTAGGACCCCTTTTGGCTGTTGATTGAACACTAATTAACAGGCGTCCCTTTCGACCTGACCAGGTCGAACTCCAAAACCGGTAAGATACATGCAGACACGGCAAGCGGTATAATTAGTATGCAATGTGAATAGGCACGCTTTGTTCATATACAACCCTGCATCTGCGTATAAATATATATATATATATATGTACAGCGGATCCGCAAGTACTATCTGTCTTGTTCAATATCAAGCTTTCCATGTTTCCTCACTAGCACATGATGCCTATCCTGACTGATCGAGCTTCCGCCTAAGGCACATGGCTGGCAACATCTGTGCGCAAACAGCTACGATAAACCCAAAAAGTTGCGCGCGCGCGCGGGGAAGGAATTGCAATATTTCCGGAAGCACCCAAAGACCCAAGGGGAGACTTCGGGGTTGAACTGGACGCTGGTGAAACAAAAATGCAACTAAACCCCCTAGAGTTTCTTCGGACACACACACACACAAATCAGGCCCCAGGCTCAAAAAGGTGGCCGATGAGCAATGAAACATCCCTGGCCTGCTTTGCCTTCTCCTTCTCTAGCTTCGCTTCCTCCTCCTTTTGCTTCTTCATCTCCTGTCAGCTTGCCACTTCTCATCTTGTCCAGTGGCCACGAACAAACATTCGAAATACACTTTACAGGGTGCACGCTGGGAATTCTCACTTAGTAAAAAACGTTTTTTGCGCATGTTTTGCACCCATTCAACGGGTTTTCCCAAAGCCAGGTGTCACAAAGGCAATCATGGCCTTGAGTGCCTCTGAGCACGCGGGCGATTTGCACCTGAGATAATCCCGTCGAACCAACACAGCAACCTGAGTTGCTTAGGGTCCGTAGAACCTTCTGCTTCTCACTCCCCGGTGCTTGGTGCAAAATGACGCTGATACCGAAGACGGAATCCAGTGCCTAGTTGATTGCTTCAATGAACATTCCCTTGGCCGCACCTTCTTCGTCCCATTTCCCGCACGTGAACTCAATCAACACGGGCCGGATAGAAGTGACATTTCAAAACCTGAGTGGGACTCAAAATGAAACTGCCCTGTTGTGGTCCGTACTTAGTCGACCACAAAATGTATTTTGATACCGTTTGAGTTGGCACCCTTTGCGGTTGAGTCCTGAGAGACCAAAAGTGAGTAGTGCGTACCCTAGATTTCTGGATCTCCATGGCAAAGGAAGGGTGGCGTCCACCAGCAACATCCAAGGAGCCTCCGCCTTCACCTCCTCCACCTGCGTGGAAGCAACGCCCGCTAAGGGGTGTGTGCCAACGCTTAAGGGAAGCCAAGGAAAGCATATGCCTCAAATTGGCGAGGTCTTCAACCATTCTTCGACTCAGCTGGTGAACAAATAAGCTCAGGTGATATCCCCAACATATCCCCAACAGCATGCGGTGCTCCTTTTGGTGCTCACCACCCCGCAGCCCTCGCAGAACCTCGTAGAACCCTGGTGGAACCCCAGTGGAACCCCAGAGGAACCCAGGTGGAACCCTGGTGGAACCCTGGTGGAACCCTCGTGGAACCTTACCTCAGGCCGCCCCGGACCACCCCGAGCCTATCTGGGCTGAGACCCCAAAGCTTTCAGCTGTCGGGGAAAAACAAAGCGAAAAAACTGGGCGCCCTATGGGAAACTTCCCTGGAGGTCGCAATCCCCCTTGTCAAGTCGCATGTATGCGACTTGCCTGCATAGTGGAAGCTGACATGTCAGACACAATGGTCTAGATAACACACACACACACACACACAAGCATCCAAGAGTAGGACCCCTTTTGGCTGTTGATTGAACGCTAATTAACAGGTGTCCCTTTCGACCTGACCAGGCCGAACTCCAAAACCGGTAAGATACATGCAGACACGGCAAGCTGTATAATTACTATGCAATATAGATAGGCACGCTTTGTTCATATACAACCCTGCATCTGTGTACATATATATATATTACATGTACAGAGTAGTATGATCCGCAAGTACTATCTGTCTTGTTTAATATCAAGCCTTCCATGTTTCCTCACTAGCATATGATACCTATCCTGACTGATCGAGCTTCCGCCTAAGGCACATGGCTGGCAACATCTGTGCGCAACAGCTACGATAAACCCAAAGGTGCGCGCGCGCGGGGAAGGAATTGCAATATTTCCGGAAGCACCCAAAGACCCAAGGGGACACTTCGGGGTTGAACTGGACGCTGGTGAAACAAAAATGCAACTAAACCCCCTAGAGTTTCTTCGGACACACACACACAAATCAGGCCCCAGGCTCAAAAAGGTGGCCGATGAGCAATGACACATCCCTGGCCTGCTTTGCCTTCTCCTTCTCTAGCTTCGCTTCCTCCTCCTTTTGCTTCTTCATCTCCTGTCAGCTTGCCACTTCTCATCTTGTCCAGTGGCCACGAACAAACATTTGAAATGCACTTTGTTGAATTGACTTGAAGCCAAACTGGAAACCGGGTGCACGCTGGGAATTCTCACTTAGTAAAAACGTTTTTTGCGCATGTTTTGCACCCATTGAACGGGTTTTCCCAAAGCCAGGCGTCACAAAGGCAATCATGGCCTTGAGTGCCTCTGAGCACACGGGCGATTTGCAATTAACAGGCGTCCCTTTCGACCTGACCAGGCCGAACTCCAAAACCGGTAAGATACATGCAGACACGGCAAGCTGTATAATTACTATGCAATATAGATAGGCACGCTTTGTTCATATACAACCCTGCATCTGTGTACATATATATATATTACATGTACAGAGTAGTATGATCCGCAAGTACTATCTGTCTTGTTTAATATCAAGCCTTCCATGTTTCCTCACTAGCATATGATACCTATCCTGACTGATCGAGCTTCCGCCTAAGGCACATGGCTGGCAACATCTGTGCGCAACAGCTACGATAAACCCAAAGGTGCGCGCGCGCGGGGAAGGAATTGCAATATTTCCGGAAGCACCCAAAGACCCAAGGGGACACTTCGGGGTTGAACTGGACGCTGGTGAAACAAAAATGCAACTAAACCCCCTAGAGTTTCTTCGGACACACACACACACAAATCAGGCCCCAGGCTCAAAAAGGTGGCCGATGAGCAATGAAACATCCCTGGCCTGCTTTGCCTTCTCCTTCTCTAGCTTCGCTTCCTCCTCCTTTTGCTTCTTCATCTCCTGTCAGCTTGCCACTTCTCATCTTGTCCAGTGGCCACGAACAAACATTCGAAATACACTTTACAGGGTGCACGCTGGGAATTCTCACTTAGTAAAAAACGTTTTTTGCGCATGTTTTGCACCCATTCAACGGGTTTTCCCAAAGCCAGGTGTCACAAAGGCAATCATGGCCTTGAGTGCCTCTGAGCACACGGGCGATTTGCACCTGAGATAATCCCGTCGAACCAACACAGCAACCTGAGTTGCTTAGGGTCCGTAGAACCTTCTGCTTCTCACTCCCCGGTGCTTGGTGCAAAATGACGCTGATACCGAAGACGGAATCCAGTGCCTAGTTGATTGCTTCAATGAACATTCCCTTGGCCGCACCTTCTTCGTCCCATTTCCCGCACGTGAACTCAATCAACACGGGCCGGATAGAAGTGACATTTCAAAACCTGAGTGGGACTCAAAATGAAACTGCCCTGTTGTGGTCCGTACTTAGTCGACCACAAAATGTATTTTGATACCGTTTGAGTTGGCACCCTTTGCGGTTGAGTCCTGAGAGACCAAAAGTGAGTAGTGCGTACCCTAGATTTCTGGATCTCCATGGCAAAGGAAGGGTGGCGTCCACCAGCAACATCCAAGGAGCCTCCGCCTTCACCTCCTCCACCTGCGTGGAAGCAACGCCCGCTAAGGGGTGTGTGCCAACGCTTAAGGGAAGCCAAGGAAAGCATATGCCTCAAATTGGCGAGGTCTTCAACCATTCTTCGACTCAGCTGGTGAACAAATAAGCTCAGGTGATATCCCCAACATATCCCCAACAGCATGCGGTGCTCCTTTTGGTGCTCACCACCCCGCAGCCCTCGCAGAACCTCGTAGAACCCTGGTGGAACCCCAGTGGAACCCCAGAGGAACCCAGGTGGAACCCTGGTGGAACCCTGGTGGAACCCTCGTGGAACCTTACCTCAGGCCGCCCCGGACCACCCCGAGCCTATCTGGGCTGAGACCCCAAAGCTTTCAGCTGTCGGGGAAAAACAAAGCGAAAAAACTGGGCGCCCTATGGGAAACTTCCCTGGAGGTCGCAATCCCCCTTGTCAAGTCGCATGTATGCGACTTGCCTGCATAGTGGAAGCTGACATGTCAGACACAATGGTCTAGATAACACACACACACACAAGCATCCAAGAGTAGGACCCCTTTTGGCTGTTGATTGAACGCTAATTAACAGGCGTCCCTTTCGACCTGACCAGGCCGAACTCCAAAACCGGTAAGATACATGCAGACACGGCAAGCTGTATAATTACTATGCAATATAGATAGGCACGCTTTGTTCATATACAACCCTGCATCTGTGTACATATATATATATATTACATGTACAGAGTAGTATGATCCGCAAGTACTATCTGTCTTGTTTAATATCAAGCCTTCCATGTTTCCTCACTAGCATATGATACCTATCCTGACTGATCGAGCTTCCGCCTAAGGCACATGGCTGGCAACATCTGTGCGCAAACAGCTACGATAAACCCAAAGGTGCGCGCGCGCGGGGAAGGAATTGCAATATTTCCGGAAGCACCCAAAGACCCAAGGGGACACTTCGGGGTTGAACTGGACGCTGGTGAAACAAACATGCAACTAAACCCCCTAGAGTTTCTTCGGACACACACACACAAATCAGGCCCCAGGCTCAAAAAGGTGGCCGATGAGCAATGAAACATCCCTGGCCTGCTTTGCCTTCTCCTTCTCTAGCTTCGCTTCCTCCTCCTTTTGCTTCTTCATCTCCTGTCAGCTTGCCACTTCTCATCTTGTCCAGTGGCCACGAACAAACATTCGAAATGCACTTTGTTGAATTGACTTGAAGCCAAACTGGAAACCGGGTGCACGCTGGGAATTCTCACTTAGTAAAAACGTTTTTTGCGCATGTTTTGCACCCATTGAACGGGTTTTCCCAAAGCCAGGCGTCACAAAGGCAATCATGGCCTTGAGTGCCTCTGAGCACACGGGCGATTTGCACTTGAGATAATCCCACCGAACCAACACAGCAACCTGAGTTGCTTAGGGTCCGTAGAACCTTCTGCTTCTCACTCCCCGGTGCTTGGTGCAAAATGACGCTGATACCGAAGACGGAATCCAGTGCCTAGTTGATTGCTTCAATGAACATTCCCTTGGCCGCACCTTCTTCGTCCCATTTCCCGCACGTGATCTCAATCAACACGGGCCGGATAGAAGTGACATTTCAAAACCTGAGTGGGACTCAAAATGAAACTGCCCTGGTTGTGGTCCGTACTTAGTCGACCACAAAATGCAAAGTTGGTTTAAAGGAAAACCAACGGGAATCATGTATATGCGTAATATATATATATATATATATATGTATATTTACCCATATATATATATAGTGCGCATACACATCTAGGAACACAAATCTACTTCCCGCGAAAAGAAGGGGCGAATCCCAAGATGGGCCAATGCTGCGGCGCCTCCTCCTTTCGCTTTCGGGCGGCCGCCAACTGCTCCTGAAGAAACTCAGCTCGAGAAAAATCTCCCCAGGGCTTTTCGTTGGATACGCAGGGTGGGGCCGAAGCCACAAAGCCGACGGTTTGGGGTCCAGTTCTTTCTGGAGAGTACCACCAGGCTGCAAGCGTAGATCTTAAGTGTCAAGCTGATACTCAAAAAGGCCCGATGGGGTTCATTTAACCACGCAAAACAAAGTGGATGTTCTCAAAAAGGTCCACAACATTTGTGTTCGAAAAGCGGGTGGCAGACGTGCCTTTTGATTACAAACCCTTAACGGCTATTGAAAACAAACAGGGAACTCACCTTGTTGAATGAACCATGCCTTGCGGTGGTTTCGGATTTTTTCCTTCAGTGGTGCTAGGGATCGGACCCACTTGCCGGCCTCGATGTTGGGTTTGGATTGGATTGGGGGGGTTCTCATCCCAAAACAAAAGCCGAGTCCCCAAGTCGCCAATCCAAACCACCAATGAGGCGTGACCTGATGGCTGGCTCCGTAGGGCTATGGCCAACAGTTCTGGCTGTTTCTGAAGCGCGCCCCAATTGAACCATGCGGCTCAACTTTCTCCCACCCAAACCCCCACCACGCTTCGCCGCCCAGCAAACTTCTATGGACCTTAATTCGATAAAATGCTTGCTCTATCAAAGTTGCACCCGCACTCCACAGGCTTTCTGACATCCGCCCTGTGAAAGCGCAGTGAACTAAATTCCCATCACCTTCTCCCCCCCTTTTTGCGCCCTGTAGCAGTTTTCTCTTCATTTTGCAAGCCCCCAAAACTTCTGAGTATGATGTTCACCCGCCTGGCTAAGCTAAGTAGGGCTGCTTCCATTTCACATTCAAACTTTGACCCTAAACCTAGGATTTAAATGATGCTACATTTTTGCTACCGTCATGATTCTGTACGCGGCAAATATGCCTATCTCAGTAGTTCCCAATCCTTCACCCAGCAAAGGACTCGACTGATGTGTGATTCCCCCACGGTGACTAGTTGGAGCCAGAAAGCCGCCCCAACAGACCCAGGCTCACTTCTTGAACACAATCCTTTCGCTTTGGTTCAGGGAATCAAGTTCGTGTCGTGTAGCCAATTTTGCAACCTGGGCGAACCCGAAAAATGCAATACCTTCAAGCCGGTGGCTTCGCCAAATTGCTTTGGGGGGGACTCTGGACCAGTTGAAACCTTCTGAAAATGGGAAGAACCGCGTTGAGCTTGAGGAGAAACTCGCTGGATGGTAAAGCTTGGAACCAAAAACCGTAACAGGGATCCTTGCATTATACACCTGAACATTGTCTTGTAAATGGTGGGTTCCCTTTATTTTGGTGGAACAAACCATGTTGCAAATGGGCAACATGTATCTTTCAAGGAGCTTCACGTTGGATCCGCAACACGTATCGCCTTGTCTTTTTTGGGGTAACCCCGTGTGTTTCTTGGTTCTGAAGGGACGCCAAAAGGACAACCGAAGCCATGTGCCATTTTGGGCGGGCGCAAATCCTAAAAGAAGTCTGACACACCAACCTTGAAAACGCCCAGCTTCCGTTTCCAAAACGAACACAAAAACAACGCACCGCAAAAAAATGGAAAAGAAAGGAAGAAACCAAAAAAGAGAAAGAACCCACAACTCCTCCAAAGCAAAAAGCCCGTTGCGACGACGACGACCAGCGCCCGGCGAGACCTCGCTCACGTGCTTCGCGCGCTTCTCCGCCCGCAGCT